AAAATTTTAGAACTGGAAGGCGCTTAGAAATCACCTACTCCTACCTTCTCACGTTACAGTTGAGGAAATCCAAGTTGGAAGAGATTAAAAGGCCTTCCCAAGTCATACAGCTTAGTATCTGGGCTAGTAAAAGAATTCCATCCCCTAATATCCAAGTCAATGTGGCAACCTAGAAAAATAGTAAAATGTAGCCAAAAGAGAAAGAGCTACATAAAGAACAGTCTTTCTTTAGATGACATACATTGTGATTTTAAAAAAAGAACCATGAGGCCTAATTATAAGAAAATCACCCACCCCTACCCATCTCCTTTTTTTCTGGACAGAAGGAAATAGGTAGAGATGAAATAATGACAATTTTCTCAAACTCTTAACCTTTGTAAACAGTTTTTAGTATACACATACTTAAGTGAAAAGGCAAAAACATCTTGCTGCATCTATAAATTTGTAAGGCTATAGTCAATGGTTTCTATGAAATGAAGTCTATACAAAATAACTCTGAAAACAGCATAGATTATATAAGCATCCTGGTGTTCCCTCAATTTGTTTTATAAATTGTTCTGACTACACAGGTGACTAACACCAGAAGAGTCTCTTGCAGCTGCTCATGATTCATGTACTGGAAAACAAAGATAAAAGATCATTCCTCAGATTTATATCCAAATGCTTTACACCCTAATTTACAAAAGGGCACATTAAGGTAATCGAGAAAAGAAAAAAAAAAACCTTACAAACTTGCATAATGAAAAAAAAAAAGTTACTGCATGTTGCCAGGTAAAGGACACCCTGCAGAAATGAATGCATGGCCTCCCTCAGAAAAGCAAGTATCTTTAGTCTACAATAAACTCTCAGAATCATACCGAGGCAACTTAGAAAGCAAGAATCTGGAAGTATGGAAGCGAATCAGATATGGTAACAATATTTTTATTTCCAATTCTAATGCTCTTATTTAGTTTTACCTTTAAAGAAAAACTTGAACAGTGCTCATGCCACACAGTGCCTTTGTTTTCACACAATCCTAGTTTGATGTGTGTTAATCACAGTCTATAAACAGATAACAATCTATAATGGGAGGCACTGAATCCATAGATCCAGATTTTATAAAAACTTGATCTCTCTGCTTTGCTGGTTAAGCATCATTTAGACGCAATAGCCAGTTTTTCACTGGCTTATAAGTTGCTGGCAAGGCGATTCTCTTCTCAGGGACAATAAATTCTGATTGTAACTAACAAAGTAAGCCACTGTGCTGGGATAAAGACCTATATAAAATTTTGTTTAATCCTTTACAATCAACACGTGAGAAGAATCTTTATAACTAGTTGATAATCATCATACAGATTATAAACTGAAAATCCTAAGAAGTTTAACCATTTGCCTGAGGGTCATTTGTCTTACCAGTGGTAAAAAAGAAATCAGAATTTAAGTCTTCAAAAGCAAGAGCCTAGGATCTTTCCATTATAGCTTAGGTACTTCCTAGACATGGATGGGGAAGGCACATGCAGTGGGGTTCAATGGACCATGCAAGAAACTTTCCTCCAATATTCTGACTAGCTATTTGGGCAGGGATTTTTTTTTATGTTATTTATGGTGATGGAAGAATTTCAGTCACTTATCATTAAAGAAAAAAATGTGACACAATCACTATCTTCAAATTGGTAGTTAGACATAAATAAAATTTAGCAATTTTAACTGGTTTGGCTCAGGCCCTCAGATTTCCATATGGTTACTTTCCTTGTTTTCTATTAAATGTAACTGACTTAGCACTTGACTTTTAAAGTCTTGGCAGAATGTATCAATTAAAAGTATATAAATTAGAATTATTCAAAGCATGCATTCCAAATTGAGTGACTTTAAGGACAAAATTTAAAATTGCTCTTTTCATAAATGTTAAATTTTTTCTAAAAACTTGCATCATCACACAGATGACAAATTTCATAAAGACAAAAGAGGATATTTTCTTTGGAATAACATAAACAAGCATTCTATTTATTTCTTTTCTGAGAACTAATGTGTGCCTAAAATGGCCTTTCTACACTGTTTGCAAGATGAATTTTTCCTGTCTTAGTATTTCTAAAACTGACAGCAGTCATGAAAACTCTCACAAACCATTTCAAAACTAAAATATAAGTACAACATTGATAAACATGGCACAAGGCCCATTAAACTGACAGCTCTTTTCTAATTGGTCTTGCCAAAAATGCTGCACAATTGTTATTTAATATACCAGTATATCAGAGCATTACATTGAAAAAAACGACTACACATTGAAATAGATGTTCTTTCTAAACCAGTGCCACAATTCTCTTCAGAAACTGTAAAACCACACAACATGAATAAAATACAATCAGAAAGATGCAAAGCACATTCATTTCTGTAGGCTCCTGACTCAATTTATTGTTACAATTGCTCCTAAGGACTACTGCCCGTGTAATTGTTTTCCAAATACTGAAGTCCATCACCCAAGCTAAATAAATGACAGAATCATTTATCAAACCCCAAGTGGTTGTTGATGGAATTTCCACACTCACTTGGCTTGAGTGAAAAGCCAGAATGCCTGTGTGTCTCTGGGATTCTTGAAGAATTTATAATTCAAGTTAAAACTTATTATTCTTATTACTATTATTAAATTCTCATTTTGTATCGTCGGTAATGGAAACGTACAGAATCATTTGCCTTATGATGGAACTCTGGTTTGATGCCATATTTATAAATGATTACTTAAACTGTTGAACATTAATAGACATTCTTCCCTGGCAAGGATAACATTAGATGCAGTAGAACAAATGACCTTACTTATTAATGTCTAATTTCCTTATGCTATTCTCCATCCACATAGAAACTGCACAGAAAATTTCTCTCTAACTTTTGGATTAGGAAATTTAACGATTTGAAGGAGGATCTAATCCCCCTCCCCTATTTCCACGATTTTATTGATTTCCTACTATTTCCAAGTGTCTTCCTTTGCAGTGGCAAGAATGTGGAATTGCTAGAAGTATCCTTAAAGGAAACCTTGAAGGTCATTAGATCCCAGGCAATGAATGCCTTCATTCAACAAGGGCACTGCCCTCCTTTGCCTGCAAACCCTTTAACATCAGCAAGATCCCCCAAGGGCTTGCACTTTAACTTGGTTGGAGCAGGTCACATTTCTAAAATATTTAGCAGTCTCAAATGTCCCTGGTCGGCAGCACTGAGTCACAAACGCCAGAGCGTTTCAGGCTAGATCAACCTCTTTCTAGTTTTCAATGGAATTATTCCATGTAATCCGATTTACACAGCCATATAATCAAAGCGAGAAAGGAGATTACAGAGCTCACATTTGTTTTGCAAAGCAAGGGTGCAAGGATCATCAATCCTCCTGACTCTCAAAGTGACATGGTAGTACATCGTCTCCCTTTGGAGTGTTGGACATTAACCTGATCTGTCTCCTGTGTTCTTGTTTAAATAAGAAGGTTTAGGCTTTTTTTTTTTTCCCCCCGAACTAGAAGGTAGCGGTTTCTCCACCAGCTCTCACCACTACCATTCAGGTGAGATGCTACTGTAACAAGAATTGGTCCCCTGCCCTTATTATTCCACAAAGGAAAAAGCTTGTACAAGTCAAATAATTTCATTAAAACTTTTTCTTTCGGTGCCAGTCTCTAACATTCACATTTCAACAGCACAGTGTGGTGATCCTGGGTGTGGTGTTCAATGCTTTGCCTATAACCTAACCTTCTTGCCCCAGGAACCTGTGCTCCCCTCCTTAGTCTTGGGCAGCTGCCCTCCAGACTGCACAAACCTCCTTTCTGCCAGGAAACGTCCCTTCCCCCTGCCTTTTCCACCTGTGCACTGGGCTCCATTCTTCCTACTTCCTTCTGAATGTGTACATTTCCCAGGCCCACACATCAATTTAAAATAGGATAGGAAGCAATTCATTCAGTAAAGCATCTTCAGCACATGGATGCCTTCATTCTAAATAGACGATTTGGACAAAGTCTCAATTTCCTTTTACCCCCACCACTTCCACCCCCTCGGAATTGCAGTCTCTGATAGATCCTCTTGGGGGGTGAAAGGGCAGCTTTACCCAACTCGGGGCAGATACACAGATAAATTCCTAAGGGGAGAAGTGGGAAGAGGTAAGAACTGCAATGGAGAAGGGAACTCTGGGTGGGAGTACCATGGCAGCCCTTTCCAAACTATAAGCCAGATATCTGCTTCAAGGGGGAAAAAAAAAATTCTAATTGTACCCCTGGGCGGTGCTTTACTCACAGTGTTTATGTATAATGCACAATTTAGCTGCCCTGGGAAATTACCTCAATAACTATCATTAGAGGTGCCTATTTAAAACAAAAGAAAACAAAATAAAACAACAAACTTTTTTTCTCTTCTGTACTGGAAGAAGGTGGGTGCAATGTGGTGGTATTACCCCCCATCTATGGCTCTCTAGAAACTCACCCAGAGCCGCAAACCTGGCAAAGACCGCGCAGAGCCAAGTTTCCGGGGCTGGCCGGGCAGGTTCTCCGCCCCGCGGAGCGCCGCTGTTAAGGGGCAGCTGCACCCCTGTCCGCACGAGCCCCGCGCCCACCTCGGGGCTGCACAAAAACCTGGGTTCGAGAGTGAGCGACCGTGGTGCGCTGGGAGCTGTTTTGTAATCTCCCGGAATCCACGGGAAAATATCTCCCGTGCAAAGAAATGCCTTCTCGTAGTAACTTAACTCTCCGGCCAAAGAACGGACCCTTCCATTTTACAGGAACTGCGGTTCCCGACTGACAGCTCCAAACTTAACGGCAGCGGCTCTAAACTTGACACCAGCTCCCTCTCATCGCTCCCACTCCTTCTCTCTGGCTCACCCGGCCAGGGCGGCTCCGACTCGCACGCCACGCCCGCCTCCCTCGCAACCTCTTGGCTCGTCCCGCGGGCACAGCCCCACACGCCCCGGCAGCCGGTGCCGAGACGAGCCGGCCTCCCCCAGGCTCCGGGCGCGATTTTCTAGGAGAGCCGGCAAGCTCCCGGCGCGCCCTACTCACTTGTGTCTTCTTCATAAGGAAAGGCAGCGCGGTGATCCAGCCCAGGCAGCGGTGTGGCGACTCCGTTTAGATGTTCTGGAGCTCCAGCATATTGCACGAGCAGCGGCTGCAGCTAGTCCACGCATTGGGTAGCCCGAGCGCAGCGCCCTCTCCACGGCCCGTGCTTCCCGCGGCGCTCCTCGTCCCGGCGCAAGGCGGCAAGTGAAGCCTGGGCCGGCGGGCCGCCAACACTTTTATACCGGTCCCTCCCGCCTGCTCCGGACACGCCTCCTTCCCTTCCGGAGCCCTGGGGAAGCTAGACGGGGCAGGGGCGCGGGGGGGAGACCCGAGAGGGCGGCCAGAGCGCGGCCAATGCCCCCGAAGTTGAACAAATCAGGCCAAGCGCTTCCCCTCGCCTGGCCGCCGCGAGCGCACACCAGAGAGAAGCCACGGGGGCGCCAAGGGTGAAGCTTAACCTGCAGCCGCCTCTCGCGCCGCGTGCCGGGTGTGGCGAGTCCCAGCTCGGCCTCTCAGCTCCGCCGGGGTTCACCTGGCACCGCCCGGGGACAGACGCGCGCTAGCGAGAGCTGGGAGCTCCCCCCTTTGACACTGGGGCGGTTCGCTAGAGGAGTTCACTGGGTGCCTAGCAAAGAATTCAGCCCGCCCCGCTTTGGGGGCGGGGGTGGGGTGAGGGAGCTTAATTGGAATCCGTAGTTAGGCCATTGTCTTATCTCCTCTAACATAATATTTTTTAATAATTTAGTCAATGAATGAATATTTATAATTTAAAAAAAATTGTTGACTCAGGGTTAAGTATTGCTAAGGGAGATGCTATTTTCAGAATGGTTTACTGCTGCTTTAGAAATTAACATTAAAAGAGAAGCCATAGATTATTAAATGTGCAGGTCGATAACAGCAAGTGTTTGAAAGTTGTACTTTTTTGTTAGAGATATTTTCGAAACCAGAAAGATAATGAAAAAACAGTGATAATAGCTAACGCCATTATGTGATGCACTTAATTACATACCAGGTGTCATGCATAGGACTTTTGGTAGATTCTTTTGGTAAATCTTTTCCTCAAATTTATTGTACAGGTCCTATCATTTTTATTCCCATTTTTATGGATGATGAAACAGAGGCTTAGGTCAATTTTCCCAAACCACAGCTAGTAAATGGTACAGCTTAATTTGAATTCAGAGCCCTCTGGCTATATGGCCTTTAAAAAAATACTTAGAACAAGTATTTTATTGCCTCTCCAAAACCCTTCTATTTTTGTTCTTGTAACTGGAGACCATTAAAAAGAATTGTATTAATTTTTTAGAAGAAAATGTTAACCAGACATAACATCAATAATTTTTGGGAACAAGAATAATGTATAAATTTAGGAATTAGGTATTTTAATGAGAGTAGGATTCCAAATTTGCATAATTAGTTCAGTGTGCCTTTGTTAAAAAATAAATATGCCAAACTTATAACCATGAAAGCAGAAACTAGGTAAAATTTGAAGTTCACTGGGTTAGTTTTCTATGGCTGCTGTAACAAATAACAACAAATTTAAGGGCTTAAAACAACACAAGTGTATTATCTTGCAGGTTGGAGATTGGGAGTCCAAGATGGATCTCACTGGACTAAGTGTTAGTGGTAGTGCTGCACTCCTTACAGAAACTCTAGGGGAGAATTCCTTGTCTTGCCTGTTTCAGCTTCTAGAAGCTGTCCACATTCTTTGGCTCATGGCCTCCTTCATCTTCAAAGTCGGCAAAGGTGAGCTGAGTTCTTCTGACCTCAAACCACTCTGACTTTCCCTTCCATCTCCCTCTTCTACTTTCCTGGATAATCCAGGAAAATCTGCCTATTTTAAAGTTAGCTGATTTACAATAATAACTCCATCTGCAATCTTAATTCCCCTTTGCCATGTAACATAGCATATTAACAGGTTCCAGGGATTAGGATGTTAATGTCTTTGGGGGGGTCATTAATCTGTGTGCCACTTTCACTTAATAGCAAACAAATTTGGGTATTTGGTATGTCACTGTGCATCCTTTAGCAAGTGCTTTGCTCCACGTGGCTGGAGCTCCCAACTAGAAGACCACTTCCCTGTCCATAGTTAATGAAAATAAATGTTTGAAAAAAAGAACCACAAGAAAAGTTCACAGTATTAAATGACTGTTATTACTCTCAGTCAGAATGGTGCTGCAAACCACTTTAAGCAGAAGTGGAAAGAAGCCTGAAAACAGAAGTAAGTATGACAGTATTGGAAAATCATTTAATTAATGACTCCACTCAGGTAATCCCAATTTTAACCAGCCCTTGGGGGTAATTTTGCTATGCCAAAATCTTCCAAACACTTCATATATATACAAATAATGCATAAAGGATCTATACTCCTGAAATGCATTACTATAATAGAAAGGGAAATGAGTATGAGAAAGGTTGTTTCAGATTCTGCTGCAGGCTCTATGACCTTGCCTCAAATCATGGGTATAGCAGTGTGACATGCATAGCTGTAAAGGTTCCCAGGATGATTTTAGGTGGTGCACAGATTAATATTTTGTTTATTTTATCAAATGAGTATGAATTAAAATGTATGTATTTTTATATAATATGCATATATATCACATCAAACAGATGATTCCAAGTTGTTTCTTAGAAAAAAATTTAAAGGCTCAATTTAAAGACAGTTTAGTGTATAATATGAAATAAATAATAACTAGTACTAAGGGAAGGCATATGTGACAAAAATCGTGAAGTTGGTAGAATTACAAAAACTTGGCAAACATCAATCTAACCATACTAATTTTATGAAGCTAACAGAAAGGAAGGGCTAATAAATTAGGCCAGGTTTAAAGAAACCAGGAGGTGAACCTCTCAGAAATTCAGGTGAATTTCTTTTTATTCAACTAAGTCATTCATCTCAGTACTCAATATACTCATCTTCTACAGTGTACTCTCACCCTCTCTCCCTGCTCCTCCCTCCTTTTCCCTTCTCAATTCTGTCTCCTCCTCCCACCTGCACAGCTCAATGGCTCTAGCTAAATTTAAATCATCACTGACTTTCTTATCCATAACTCTATCTTTTGTTTCCTTCATATTGCTCACCACAGTTTTGCTGCATAATCATGTTATTTGAAATCAAGTCAGGAAAATAAAAAGCAGATATCGAAGAGATTAGAAGGAGCTAGTATGCAATTCAAAGATTCTCCAGCAAGCTCATGGGAGGTCAAAAGTGGGTCAGAAAGACTGAGCTCTCCCTTGAAGGCAGACCTTTGGAGGAGACACAGGCCAGTATCCAGTCCCTTAGCAGAAGGAAACCAGGAGCTACTTAAAAGTGAACAAGTGTCAGGGCTATGCCCCAAGTGGATAGGAGACATGGTGAATGTTTTCTTGCAAAAACAGTAGGCTCCCATTATAGGGTTCAGGGAGTTCAGCATTTGGTACATTTTGAAGAAAGTCTCTCCATGATAATCTCATCTTTACTTGCATTCTTTCAATGCTACTTTGTCCATCGTGCTGTTTTGATTAATTTTTGGAAACAGTTTATGTTTTTCAGTTTAATATTTGTTGTTGTTACGAGACAGGTCTAATTTAGTAAATAAGTCTTGTAAGTCTTGTCTCATGCATGTGAAACATCTGTTTATTTACCATTTTGTGACTGCCCTGTGTTAGACACACGTGTTGTTTTCAATACCTTTCTTTAAAAAACAGGCACCCCAAACTAAAACTGTTATTGTCTGACCAGGCCAGACCAGAGGTTGCCATCCATTCCCATCTCTGGGAGAGATGGAAATGGAGAATCACATTTTGATTATGTAACTTCCTCTGCTGAAAACTCTTTGGTGGCTTGTCATTTGCTCTTGGGATAAAGAAATAAATACTTTAGCAAAGGCTTCACAGCTTCCAGGGTCTGGCCCCTTGCTGCCTTTCCAAAGTGAATTCACTTTGTGCTCCCCTGCTCAGACAAGGGCCTTCTTTATGTTCCTCATAATTTCTTCCCATTTCAGAGCCTCTGCATATCTCCTTCCTTTTGCCTCTGCTTACACCACTTTGCTCAACCCTTTTCTCTTTGCCTAGTAAATATCTTCTCATCCTCATTAGCTCTCAACTCAATATTCTCTATATCCTCTTCTGTAGGCAGGCTTTCTCTAACCTCTGATTCGGTCAACTCCCCTCTTAATATAAACTCAAGTATGAATTCCTTCTCTTGTGTAGCACTTACAAAGCGGCTGCAGTTTAACATTTGTCTGGGTGAGTATTTGATTAAAGTCATTGACTATGACTGTCCTCACTCATTATTTTATCGTCAGTGTCAAGTCCAGTGAGCAGAACATAGTGAATCTCTTAATACTGCTCTAATTAAGTTACTGATGCCAGACATGAGGCAGGGATTGTGCTAGGCCCTTAGTTTATACTATGTCACTAACTTCTCTCAACAATTATGTAAGAGAGATAATTTTTCTATTTGATAGATAAGGAAACTGAGAACCAACAAGATAAAGTAGTTTTTTAAATGTCCTTCAAACAGTAAGTAGAAAGAGCATTGCTTTAATCCAGGCATATGGACCATGGTAAGCATTTATTATCTGCCCAGCACACTTTCCTATTCTTCTCTGCTCTATCAGCACCCCCATTTCCTTCCAGTAGAATTCACAGTAGATTTCATGTATTTCATGAGGGATTGTAATTCACAAGGTTCTTCGTGGGCCCGACCCCCGACCCCCCTGAAGCCAGACGTAGGAGTTGGTGAGGTAGGAGTACAACACCCAAGATGGACCCGTCAGAATCCACTGTGGAACTTATCTGCTAAAGTCAATTGGAAAGATTACCTCTTTCCTGTGGAGTTGCCAAACTACAAAAATGTGAATCTTCCTTTATCCTTCCTATGTGATTTTACCAGCCTTAAAAATGATGAAAAAAACATCAGTTTTTTTCTTTGAATAACCCATATTCAGAGAGTATCATCAAACCCATTTGTTTAGTTCATTTTTTCCTTGGTTATGGAAAAAAAATTAGCAAATACTTAAATTACTGGATACTAAATACTTAAATTATTGGTAGTTTGCCTTCTTTTTCTTTTATGTTGTAGCTAAAAATTAACCATAGGCCCAATTTAAAAACCAACAGTAAATAATTAACATTTCTGAAAAAAGTTGAACCTGGATAATACCAAATCAGAGGGATTTTTAAAAAAAATTTGTTTAAACTCTTTTGTGAAATTCTAGAAA